TCAGTTGCAACAATAGCTACATTGTGACAGTTGTTCCTGTCACATTCTGTCCCTATTTTTGCTGCTGTTCTGTGCAATTCACTCAAAAATACCAACTGAAGTGGAGTAAGTACTTTATTGATAAAGTATCACACAGAGTTCAAAAACCATTGGACAGCTTGGAGCCTAGCCATGTACTTCCATGTGCGAAATTCAGATGAAATCTGTTTTTTACTTCAGTATGGAATCTTCACTTGCTAAAAGGGAAGAAAACACAAACATGATTAAAGCTATTAGCCACGCAGAACAAAAACATGCAAAGCATAAAAAAACCCCAAAAATAAAGCCTATCTTTATGTAATTTCCTTCTGGCCAGTATTTATGATTCCCACTTCTGTTTATTCAACAGAATTGTAATTAACAGCTCTGGGTTGATGGCAAACTTTTAAGTTTACTCAGCAGTAAAAGACAGTTTTCTGAACTGACAAGTCAAATGAGCCCAGAAAAAGCTACCACTGCAGGTATGTCCATCTTAAAGAACAATCTTCAGCAACTGCACTGCACATAAAGAGAGTTTAACAACTGCTTTTCTGAAAAAAACCAGATCAAACCCATTGTTGGGAACAACAGATGTGTCACCTATGTGCCACTTTTAAACAGATTCAACATTCTAAAGCAATAATCATGAAAATTGCCTTACTAAGTGGCCTGGCAACATTACAGCATAGCCTCCACCTCCAAAAATACAGAAAGTTTAATCTAACTAGAGAACATCTTAAAGATCTGTGTTTTTTTTTTTTAGTCCACGGCCAATAGAGATAATGTATTTAAGAAGGCAAAAAGCTTTATCTCCAGGAAGTCATAGGCAAAACATATTTTAATTTCTGTATGTGTAGTTAATTTAATTATAGTGTTTTGTTCAATAATAATTTTGTCTAGAACAATGCAAATGTTCTTTCACATGGAAAGAGTTACAGAGCGTGTATCTGCACCAAGAGCAGCCTGAGTTGTTAATCAATTTTTTTTTTAATTCTTCTTAGTTTTAAGTCTACCTAAAAACCCTAGGTGAAACAAAGCTAGAGAGTACATTCCTCTGTATGGCAGAGGGGAAGAAATCCTCCGTTAGACCCACAGAGGGAACAGAAGAAATAATCCTAAAGAGAAGGGAAACAATGCTGCAGCAGGAATACTACGGTGGAAGGGAATGAGAACAAAAGCAGCAGTATTAACTGCAAATGATGCCCTCCAGCACACCCTCTGCACGTGAAAGATACAACAAAAGCAGCTCTAACACTGCAATATACAAAAAGACCAAGCTGACCTCTAGCAATACACGTGTGATGCCACTTAAAAGTCTCAAGTTGCAATTACGTACTATTGCCTATGCCCTATATTTAGTCATATTTGTGAGGTTCCTACATTGCATGGAGCAAAGGGCTTGCTTGCACATCCAGATGAAAAAGGGACATGCCAGCACAGCTGATACATAGATTCAGTTATTCCTCACAGAATAATGAGCATCTTTTAGCAGTTTGTTTCCTTGGTGGAAATTCAGCCCTTTACCAAGTCCTGACTGTTGCAGAAGTGTTACGGTTTGCTCTGACAAGCTTTTCAAAATGCAGGCATAATGAAACAGCAATACTATTTACTCCTCACACGGCCCTAACCCGCGCCTCCAGGGATTAGCTGCAGGCCCCAGTTTCTCTTAAGAGCACTGCGGTGGAACACCAGTCCTGCAGCCTAGCGCCTGCAACACAGTGTGGGATGAATACAGTAAACCGAGAAACTACCTTCTGCAAGCTCTTTTGCAATTCGCTCCAGTTCTTCACGTTTCTTTTTCTCCTCCGCCTCTATTCTTCTCTCTTCTTCAGCAATCGGCTTCAGGTAGTCTGCCATCAACATAAGCCCTTTAAAACATAACTTCCCGAACCCCCGGCGGAAAGCTCCGCTCCTGCGGGTTCGGTCAAAAAGGAGCAGAAGCCAGTTTCGCTGGCAGAAAAGCACATTTCATAGGGATCTGGGGTTTCACACTAGCAGGGCCGCCCGGCAGGGCCGCGGCCGGGCCGAGGGAGGGAAATGGCGGCCGGGACATTTGAAGGTGCCCTTGAGGGGCGGGCGCGGGGGAGCGGCCGACCGGGACGCCGCACTCACCGTATCGCTTCTTGCCGTAGATCATCCCCACGAGCAGCGCCGAGTACCGGGTGAACTGCGGGAGGCAGAGACAAGGACGCGCCCTTCGCTCAGCCCACAGGCACGGCCGGCCCCCATCGCCCCGCGCCCCGGCCCGGCGGCCCGGGCGACCCTCCCCGCGCCCCCGCACCCCCGGCACAGCCCCGGCGATCCCCCCAGCGCTCTCACCTTGATGAGCGGGGACACCTGCACCGGCGGGATCATCCTGGCGGCGGCGGCGGCGGCGGCGGCGGCCGGAACTGAGCGCGGCGGCAGGAAGGGGTGGGAACAGCCGTGACCGGGAAGCCAAATGCGGTGCCGCCCTCTGCTTCCCGAGCGTCGGCGGGTCCGTCTCTCAAAGACCTCCGGCGGCGTAGGGGCCGCAGCGTCTCCGCCACGAGGAGGGGCTGAGGGAGCTATGACGATGCAGCCTGTGAGAAGGGTCGAGGGGATCTCATCCATGTTTTTCAATGACAAATGCACACAGACTGAACGGCAGGAAATTCCTTGTAAATGGAACAAAAGATAACCACTCTTTTATTTTTTATTTTTTAATAATTTTTTTATCTCATAGGGGTAATTGGACATTAAAACCTGTTGAGCGCTTTGAAAACATATACTAGAATTATTTTTTCATTGTCAAGGTAGTCAAGTATTGGTATAGGTTGGCCAGGGAAGTGGTGCAGTCACCTTCCCTGGAGGTGTTCAAGAGGCATGAGGATCGGGTGCAGCTGATGTGGTTTAGTGGTCTAGGGGTTACAGTGGCACTGCTGGGTGAACAGCTGGACTGGATGATCTTAAAGGTCTCTTACAACCTTAATGATTCTGTCATTAAATGGTTATGGTGTCTCTGTGCAGATGCTCAGTCGGACTGGACAAAGACCTCTGCAAGCCACCCATCTAGCCAACCCTGCTTCAAACTGGAGGGTTGGACTAGACGGTCTTCAGAGGCCCCTTCCAATGACATCCGTTCTGTGGTTCTGGGATTGCAATTACTGTATTTCAGTTTAATTTTCATAGATACAAAATCCTGTGGTCATTAGCAATTCTATCAAGAACAACTAGTTACAGTTATATTTGGGAATGATCTCCTACTCGAAAATGACACAATTCAAATTGATGAAGTTTGTTTCTAAAGAACTTGAAATGATGCTAAATGACCTCTCTTTATATAAAGTCTCATATCATGTTTGTGCTTAGGTTTAGGTTCTGATATATTACCAAATTTGGGTTGAATAATGCTATTTTGACTGCAAGCAAAAATAAAACGGTTCTTTCTACTGCAGAACAAATTACTTATTTGTAAGTGGGGTAAACAAAAAAATCAGAAACAAACCAACCCAGAAAAACCAAACCAACCAAAATGACGCATACACACCCACCAAAAAAAAAAAAAAAAAAAAAAAAAAAAAAAAAAAAAAAAAAAAAAAAGCAGCATTATTGAGCCAGTACAGCAGTACAGTGCCTAGTAATATTTATACATGGCTTTATACAAAGCATCCTTATAAACACTGAAATGAAACTCCTTGGCTAGTTTTGGGTTTCATTCTCTTCAGGTACCATGAGAAGTAGAATCAACATTTCTTTACATCACATTAAAAACACTTTGGTATTTTGTAAAAAAAATTGCTGAGGTTGGAAGGGACCTTAGTGACCTTGTAGGAAAAACCCACCTAACATAATTTTAATTACAGACATCGGCCTTAAAGTTCACCTACAGAGAAGAAATAAATGGCTTGAAGTTTTGTTTCTTCACTGATTGCAATTTATTACAAATACACATATTCACTACTTACTATGTGTCTGCTGCACATTAGAAACAAAACCATACAGAACCAAAAGTGCTTTTATTAAGTATCAGAAAAAGTGCTATACACAACACAATGGAAGTAATTTAACCACAACTAGGTATTAATCCCCTTGAATAGCTGAATGTACTCTTCATGAGAAGTATGTAATATTCACAATGACATATTCAGTATCAAGGTGCTTCAAAACAAAAGCACAAGTGCTTTCAAGACTGATCTCAACTGAAACAAGATATTTGTTTTTCACCTGTAATTTCTTCAGGCATATTTTGCCACTTTTTTTTTCATGATGAACAACAAAATTCCCCAAATGCCTTTAATTATGGCATTAAAGTTGTCAGGCACTAAGATAATTCAAGATACAAATTAATCACTCTGCCAGAAGGAAATGTAATGGCTTCTAGGGCAGCCAGAGTTTAGATGATTTGAAAAGCACAATACTTATTCAGCTGCATGTAAGTGTAAAAAAAAAAAATTCAACATTATCATGGACAGGAACTTCCAGGGGTTAGTTTCTTCTACTGTCTTCCTGAGACTCAGAAATCTGTGGGACCGCTTAGTTGTCCAAACTCAGGAGAAAGCTTAACTCCTTTACCTGATGTGGAACTCTCACACATTGCAGTCTCATATTCTCTTTGAATATGACACCATGCCTTCTGAATAACAGAAGGATGTTCCATTGCCAGACAAAAAACAGACACAAAAAGCCTGAGAAATTAAAACACTTCAGACAAGAAGCTTCTGCAGAACAGAAAAAAAATTACGTCTAATCACAGAGCTCTTTTCCCTCAGAAAATGTCAAAGCTAGTTGAAACTTGGATGCAAAGCCACATGAATCCTCATTTGTTACACACTTTTAAAAAAAGAATAGATGTGGCCAAAGAACTTGTGTTTAGATGGCTTGGAAGACTGCTATCACAATTGCAACTCCCATCTAAACTCACACAGAGCCACTCAGTTAGATTTCTAACTGCTATCCCCTGTTTGTGACTATGCAGGACAGACCATTGAAAAAAACCATTAAAAAATTTAACATTGGGAAAAAAAAAAAAAGAAACCAGTAACTTGGTTCTACTATGATGTACCATCCAGAAATCCAGATGTCTCTGTGTTTTCCATGCCTCACATTCTCTTACATAGAAACTAAATCAACTTCTGTGTTTGGCTGCCATTTTCCTGGGTATCTGCGCACTTCTTAATTGATCATTGCTGCAGTTACATGTCAAGCAGCATTTTTTTCTATAAGGCAATACCAGAAGAAGGGGAACATGCTTTTATTTGCATCCCCTCTTTATCCAATATTTTCAATAGCAGATTTTGGAGAAAGGGTCTTGAGAATGGCCAGCTTAAACATAAATATGCCCCAGTTATGGTCAATACAGGCTTTGGTTTACATCAATATAATCCACACACGAATATAATGCGAGTTAGAGGAGCTGAAGTTGATCTCTTAACTTCACATGCACTGTGCAGAAATTTAGGACAGTGTTTCATTTGGAGACAAACATGCCTCCTCTTCTTCTAACAATACAACCTTGTGTCTGGAGAGAGACATCACAGACTTTATGGCAGTTAAAGAAATTCTAACAAAAATGCGCAAGGCAAGAAAAGCAAATGGGATTACAATCTGCATAAGATGGAAAATTGCAGTGCTAAATTCACTTAACAAGCAAGTTAGAAAGAAGGCCCCCAGGCTTACGCAAGGGTAAAGAGCCAGCTTGGCAAACATGAAAGCATGCTCCTTGCCACCATATCTAGCAAAGGCATGCAAAGTTTCCTCTTCATTGAGAAGGGCTGTAGTCCATATTGCAAACTGAAATATGCTGGCAAAGAAAGTGATCACACAGCTGACCTGAATGGCTTCTATTTCATTATGAGACTTTTCTGCAAATTCACTGGTCAGCTGGTAAGCTAGTGGAAGCCCACCAATGAAAGCCAATGAAAGTATGTTGAGCAGTCCCATTAACCGGGTAGCTTTTGTTACATAAAGGAAAAGAGAGTGATGGACAAACCACAGGAGACCAATTGTAACAAATGACCCAAAGTAAGCAAGATAGTTTGGCCCATATTCACTTAAAGCTTCAAGAAGACTGCCATGGAACTTCTCCTCAACTTCTCTGGGGTCAGGAACATTGTCTTCACTGTGGAGAGAAAAATTAATTTACTTTGCATATTCCTGTTATAAAAACGTATCTGGAGCAAGACTGAATTATGCTGCTTTACTTTGAGAAAGTAGTGAACAAGAGGAATCCACCCTGTACTTCTCTAGTAATTTAGAAACAGTGTTTCAAATAATAGCTCTGCAAAGAAATAATATATATAAGGAAATTTGAATGCAGGTTGGTATTCCTTTGGGTTAATAAAGTTTATACAGAGACTAAACAGCTTTTATTGACAAAAAGCTTTCATCTGAAAACATACCTAAGCAAAAAAAGGAAGCTTTGTTCTTCAAGACTCTACATCCCAACATGTATTATGCACACTGATGATCATTACTGCTGGAATGTGGGTGTTAAAAGTATCTTTGGTTTGTGCTCTGTGTCCTTCCAGAAAATCGTACTTTAAAGTAACCACTGCAGATTTTGGAGGTCAAACACAATGTTTGATTAATTTTATTTCCTCAAATGTTACACACCGACAGAAGTTTATGTGTTTAACAAGACAAAGTGTAAGAACCAGCACAAAGCCTTACCATATATCCAAAATGAGCAGCGTTGCTACAATGGCATAGACTCCATCACTGAATGCTTCTACTCGTTCCTTACTCAGAGGCTCACTGAGGTAAAAAGTGAAGGTTTCTAAGCTATGAGGTTCCTCCTCTTCACCTCTCTGACCTGGAAACAAATCCAGAGGCTTAATCATGAAAAGAAGTATAAAATAAGGTAGTTCAACAACCTACCTTTTTCCCTATCTGCCTAAACTTTTCTTTAGACAAAAGGATGTCAGTCACTCTACTTTTTTTGGCATATGTGCCTCTCCCTGAAATTTATGTTTCTTTCAAGACAAGTGCTTCAGGAACAAAAACAACAAAAAAAGCTTTTTCCTTTAAACTGTATGGCAAACCATTAATAATGACTCCAAGCTGTAACTGAACAAAACAAATCAGATGCTGTACTTCACGAAGCCCTAATAGCTCTAGGGCTGCTATGACAGCTTGGAGAACTTAGACTACATGGTAGTAAAAACCTGTTTTGAAAAAAACCATGGGGGCTGAACAAGGATATTAAACTCACTTAAAATAATTCAAGGTCTAGTTTTTATAGGAAATGTTTAACACATCTCTAAAGAGTGAACTCAGAAGTGCCTAGCTAGCGAAAACACACTGCTTCAGATATATACATATAAGGTTAAGGTTTCACAGGAATGCAAGCAGGTGTAATCACAAGAAATTCAGTAAAGCAGTATTTCAGCCATCTGATAGGGTGAGGTAGATACATGACCTGACTGCAAACCACACTGGCCCCATCACAGTAAGCATGGACAATATTTGTATGTGTTTATTCTAGGCTCTGAGTCTGGCTTCATCCTTTTAGAACATTTCTGCCTCCCTGTTATTGCTGCCACATGGGGGAGTAAGGAGTATGGTCACATTTGCACTGGAAACAGACAGACTTGTACTAGTCTGAACAGCAGCAGTAGAAGTACAAAGGTGTTATTCTTCTGCCCCAGCTTGGGAGTATCAGTACCAAAGACATTATCTCTTCAGTGGTTTTGTGGTCCCTCTCAGAGGGACACTGCACCTTTCAGCTAAGTAGGTCGCATGATATCCCCTGCTCCTTTGATTTTAGCAATGCCAACCTCTTTCTCAGCAGGATTTAAGAGCAGCTCAGGTTGCTATGGTTGTGCACTTGTTACTCCTGACACAAGGAGGGCAGAAAGCACATGAGGGAAGGAAGCATGGGTTTAGGCTAACTTGAGACATGTGTGAAGGCACATCTTTAGATTATAGCAGTTAGATTAATGAGTAATTAGTAATACCCTGAACAGTTAACTGTTGTGAGAAAGTTTGATTTACAGGTGCAGTGCTTGCCTGTTTGAAAATGTGTGACTATTCAGCATTGCGGGGAAGGAAGTGGTAAAGGCACAGAGCTTGCTTCCTTATGTTCTTCCATCTCCATGCTCCCTCTTGAGGAGGGAAAAGGGATAGAGGGCCTGCCGGTGTCATTCATATACCTACGTGTGTCCGCATGCACTAGCACTATCAGGACAAAAAAGAAAGGTTTTGCACTGGAAAAATGATCTTACAATGTGTTGTGCCTTACACAAATCTCATCACAGGGGAATGAGGGGAAATTAGGGAACAAGGGAGACACTGTTTAGAAGCACATCAATAAACCCTAAAATCACTATGTTCTGAGACTGAAAATGAAAGCAGAACTGAAATTACTTCATTCTGGGCTGTCTGCATAACATGTTGACAACCTAATCTGAACATATGTCTAGGAATTTTGTTACTTACCAAGAATTTTGTTTTTACACCATGTAATTAATCGACTGAGATGCGGAAAAATTATTACAAGTCCAAGAAGTACGTAAGACTGTTGGAGAAGAAAATGAACAGTTTATAGTTATCAAAAATATAAATTACCTTCCAGATTTAGTATGAAACTATAACTCTCAATCTTAGAACTAATGACACTGAGAAAAAGAAATCTTGACTTTCAAAAAGAAAAAGGCTCAATTGAAATGCTCATTCACTTCCTGAATAATGCATGTGGAACGAAATACTGCTTTTTCCTAGCTAATTTAGTACCAGTAATGAAGCAAACTAAAACAAGTAGGGAAATAATTCTGCTGACAAAAAGTGCAGGAATAACTACTTTGGAAGTTGAAGAATTGTCGCACATAATCCTTATGGTTCTTCAAATTTATGACACTCTAAGATTTTACTATTTGCGTCACAAAAACACGTTGGTGTGTCCTAAGTGGTTCACAGGTCTAAGCAAGAAGCACAGGTCTAAGCAAGTTTTGCACAGGTCTAAGCAAGAAGCAACTTGGAGAGTAATTTCACCATTGTTAATATTAAAAACAAACAACCAAACTACAGTGAACAGAGTGAGGAAGAAGAGGAAAACATATTTTCAGACAAAACTAGGCCTTTTCATGTTTGGACTTATAACTACCCCTTTCACCAAGAGCAACCTGATTTCTCACAAACTTGGGGATTATTTAAATACTGCCAATTCCTGTGGAATCTGTCTCAAAATTCATCTTTTCCTAAAGAACAAGAGCAATGGAAGTTCAGCATACATTCAAAAACTAGATTTCAGTTCTGAGTAGGGGTTCCAGAAAAGAGTTAAAGCTATATTAATAAGTTGGAACAACTCACTGACATCAACTAAAGATGGAAGAGAAAAAGACCACATAAAAGCAGTCCTTGAGAGGCAGGTGGCCTAACTGGTCTCCCTTCTCTGTTTGCTCTTACACCCTAAGTTAGTGCAGCAATTGCATTCACTTTTCTTCAGCTTGTGCAATGTGGTCTTCATTTCACATAAGCTTCCTCAACTACTTCTGGTGCACAAGATACTAACATAGAGTTTGGAAGACCTGCTAAAAACAAACAAAAAAGCAGGCACAGCAAGTAATAATTTTGCAGAATATTCTTTCTACACTATACAAACTCATGGATCAAGTTACAGTTATATATGTGATTAAATACATTCAATGCAAAAAACAACACCCTAGAATGTAGCAGACTCCATAGAGCTTGGGAAAGCTCCATGGAGGATTGAGGCTTAACAGTAGGAACTGCTGAGGCATGATGAGACAGCAAAATAAGTTCCTGTCTCTGACCCCCCGCCCCAAAGCTTATCTCTGTAACCCCACTTTTCCCTAACCCTACTATTGGACAAGTTTGGATCCCCCTTTACCCTATAAAAAGGGGCTGTTTTAGTCCATTCAACAGAAGAAGAGCTGTCGCTGGACCCTTCACAGACTCCCCAGTAAACCATCACTGTGGAACACCAGGACTTCCCCTTCTCCTCTCTCGCGTCTGCTTCAAGCCTCAGCCAAGGGCACCCTAGCAAGCAAGCAAAGAGCTGAGATCCTAAGAGAGCTGATAATCGCTAAAGAGCTGACAATCTCTGAGCTTGCTAAGGGTAGCCACGGCTGCAAGCTGCCTGGGAATTTGGGCTCTCTGTCTCCCAGAGGGACGGGGCTCCTGGACCATCCTTGCATTGCTCGATAATAAGGCCAAGATCGAGGCTTTATTATACTAGAACTAGCAATGGAGAAAGTGTGCATAATTAACACAGACATTGCTATTTTCATACACAGTCCTAAAGACAGCTAATACAAACTGCTGCATCAAAGTTTTCTGTTAACCGAGAGAACTTACCAAAGGAATAAAGAAAAAAGAAAAGATGGCTGCTAAAAAGCATAAAATTGGTCCTCTCAGGATAATCTTTAAGATATGACGTTTATAGAAATTCTGATTTTCAGATTCCTGTATCTGTTGATTCAGTAAGTGTGGGTGATAGAATCCATATGCTACTATCACAGCCTGCAAAGAAAAGAGCATTACTGAACTTATTACTATTGCATATAAATATATGAAGGATTTCAAACATAAGACATAGAACTATAAATCAACACATTCCGAAACACTTGCAAGCTTATTCTTCACTCCCATATGGAAAGTTGGTCCTAGAAACTCTGAGATTTAACAAGACACTCAAAGATTTATGTGAGATTTAACAAGACATTCAAAGATTAATGTGTCATGACAGACTCTCCTCTGCAGAGTCTGTCATGACCTTTGATCCTTGATGAAGGGGAACGAAGACCTCTGTAACGAGGAACTGAAAGCAACAAAGCACTTCACCAGGAGGAAGAATGCTGCTGGACTTCAGACTGAAAACCTGTGTTCCCTCACCCACTGCTGCATGGAAAACTCAACTGTTCTTTCCCCAAGGCAAAGAGTGGGAAAGGAATTCTGTGAACACTGAGATCAGCTGATTTAGTTGCATAAAACAGCTTCATGGGACAGTGAACTTTTTTTTACATATAGGTACTGTATTATCATAATGAGCATAACTTTGAAGAAGAATGCTATACAAATAACATATTTAGCAATTTATGCCACTCAATAAGAAGCTTAATTTCAGTTCTACACAAGAAAGTCTATGTAAAAGTGAAAATGCTAATGGATAGCTCCAATACCTGTATAAGGCCAATGACAACAGCACAAACGCTGAACAGGAAGATGCCAAAAGGTACCCCTGGAAAGGAGGCCATTAAGGAAAACTGGAAAAAAAATCAACAAGATCATATATTTAATTAAGAAGCAATGTAGGAATAACAGTAGAGAAATAGAAGCACTCTTCATTCAATATTGAAAACATTAATAAATCTACATAATAATTTGCATTTCATCATAATTCCACTAAATGCTATTTCTAGCCACAAATACATGCAGGCATCCCAACCAAAGGCATCTGGAGAGATGGTTTTGCTCTGGCATTGACAGTGATAAACCTTAGCCATTCTGGCACTGTGCCTCCATAATAAAGTGCCTCCAGAGTGGCTTGTACCTGAGCATAAAGCTTAACTGGTTTTAGTTGACATGATGTCATAGCTGTGAAAATTCTTGATATTAGGATACCTTTTTGAATCTTTTATTTTGTATACCTCCACGGCTCCTTGTTGTATTAATTTCTGCAGCTTCTTTAGGGGAGGATGAAAAAGGAAAAAAAAAATTTAAAAAAAGGAGAAGAAGAAAAGCAGGGTGTAGTGTTAAGGTAACATGGACAGCTTTCTAAAAATAATTCCAGCTTCAAGGCAAAATGAAAAGTATGTTCTCTTGCTGATAAAGATCGTCTTACTAACCACAGCCTTATTTTTTGACTACATGTAAGACATACATATCCACATAGAAACAGGTGCCTGTCCTACTTACATATATAACTGTCAAGATGCATTTTAATCAACTGTTTTGTTCTGTTAGTATAGTATTCATTTGCAAATATTCTTTTAAGGCCATATGACCAAAAATTGTGCAGATTTTAAACATAAGCCCTCAGCTGCCAGAATCAACCTTGCAGAGCAAATCAGAAGTGATACCACAAACTTGGTCTAAATTACAAAAGGAAAATGTCCTGCCATATAAGGAGGAGTTTGAAACACAGTTTTATTTATCTTACCAAAATTCTTATCAGATAATCTGGACCTTCTTCAATACAGTTGCTTTCTTAAAAGAAATCATGGGAAATTTTTTACCATGAAGGTGGTAAAACATTGGCACAGTTGCCCAATCCCTGGAGATGTACAAGGTGAGGTTGGATGGGGCTTTGAGAAACTTCTTCTGGTTGAAGATGTTCCTAATCTTTGCAGGGGTTGGACTATAGGACCTTTAATGGCCCCTCCCAGCCTGAACTATTCTATGATACTATGACTTCCCATAACTGTAAGTTTTGTTGCTAGAATACCCATTTTCTGCCAGGTCTAGAACATGAAGTATTTGAAAGTTATAAAATAGCTTCATGAATTTTAAAGAAGCAACAGTTAACTACAATAATGGATTCAGGGTTTATACTATAACAACACTTTCCTGCGTTTCTGAATACTTTGGTAAAGTCTTTCCAAATAAATGAAGAAACAAACAATGTAATTTAAACAAATTTCAGATTTTAGAAAATTACTTACTGTATATGGCAAGAAGGTTATGATCATCATACAAGCCTAAAACAGAAAAAAAGCATTTTGAAACACTATGTATTTTCTGGACACATCTTCAATGAGGGCATTGCTTGCTTTGTATTTTGCAAGGAGATCAAATGCTTGTACTGCATAATGAAAAATACCCATATTTCTGAAGTTGCTGAGTTTTGACAGCAAATGGCTACTTTTGTTCACATCTTCCATGTTCTCTATGCAAATTGTTCAAGCTTATTGTAGAAAACACTACAGTTTTCTGTGTTACCAATACCCTAGGTAAAAGTTTTGCTGTGGTTTTTAAGAGATTTCTTTCTAAATGCTAAATATACCACACTTTCTAAACAGTTGTTTCTGATTTGTCAAGAACGTTAATAGCTAATCGTAAATATTTTGCATCTAAAAAAGCAAAATCAAAAAACCCAACCCAGCAAACAAAAGCATAAAGAAACATATTGCTTTGAAAGCTACATTAGGTAAGAATTAGATGCCTTAGGCTATTCTTCTAAAATAATTTCCTCTAGTTTTATCTCATGGAGCTCCAACAGTGCTTTTATTAACAAAATTAGAATAACTGTGTGGTTGCATACTTTCAGAGAACAGAGTTTGAAACAACATTGCAAAATACGCAGTTCCCCCAGATGAACTTCAGACTAACCTGCAGCAGAGCTTCTTTTGGTTTACAGTAAAACATTTGCAAGTTAAAAGCAAGTTATCAATCAGTCACAGCAAAAGTAAAGATCTTTGTGTTTTCCTGGAAATATGTAAGAGTTATGCTTTTTAATGTAGAAACTTTTGGATATTCACAGACACATTAAAGTGACCTGTATCTGCTTGTTAACCATCCAGCTTGTATGACAACACTCACCAGATTTAGAAGAGCCAGGACATCATCTATATGTTCTATCACCTGAAACAACCTGTCAAGGCAAGGCAGAGTAAGGCTATCATGAACATGCCAACTCACAAAATATATTTTACAGCACTACATATAAATTGTACATTTATGATAGTATGGGGGAACCCAATTTCCTTTGCCACAGAATTAATACAAGTATTCCAGGTGCCCCACCAAAACTCATGAGGCTCAAATATGAAAGTAATTTGTTAGAAAAATCTTAAAAGCGAGATAAAATGAAGTTCAATCATGGAGCAGTTATTAAGAACCTGGTTTCTATTTGAATGGCAGAGTATTTTCAAAATTTTAAGGCTTAGAATAATTTCTCCTGAAGAGACAGCACACAAAGAAAAAGCTTTCCTTGCAAGTGTCCCCAGATTTTGTTAATGAAACTCCTCATTCACAAAACTATCACTTAGAATGAACAGGACCCATCACCCTCCACAAAACCCTGAGACTGTACCTCAGCATTTACTTATACAAGCAAAGAGAAGCACTGGAGTAAAGGAATGGATGTGGGATATCAGCTTCAAATACTGAATTACAGGTTGCACACCTTTATTGGAATGCAGCCAATCCACTTGCATAGCAACATTTGTAGATTTCAAAATTCAAACAAAAACTGCCCTGGTTCCAGCATGACGCCTGCGTGCCAATTTCTTTTTAACCACCAAGACATGGCAGGTGGGAGTGTCCACAGCTCTATGAAGTACAGAATCTACAACATTACAATTGACTTTGCGACAACTACTGCTGAGGACAGAGATGAGTTTTAGGCCAGCTGTACTATATCAGTTCCTTTGTTGTGGAGCATGCAAGTTACAAATTCATGGGTTTTTTTCAGCAGAATTAGAAGTCTAATTCCATCTAGCCTTCAAGGTAAGAAGAAAAGTTATTCTAAAAGATGCATAATGCTTGTTTTACTCTGTATGACTACGACAGTGATGTAAGAGTAGCTTTTCACTGCTAAGAGTAGCATTTCTTTACAATGCTTTTCTAATATTATTCAACAAAAGACAATTCAGAAGTCTGGCAGCAAGACAGAAATACATCAGAGACATGGTTACGTCCTGCACTTTCTAGCTTTTAACTTTAGATTTAAACACCATGTTCCTACCTTACATGAGCTGCCCATGCCACTGTGACTATTAAAAAGGTCATCAAGTAAACTGCAATTTTTGCTAGAAGAAGTTGCTGAACACTTTCACCTAATTTCTGAAACAGAAAGTGACACCCAAGGAAACAAAATATAAATGTTATGTTACAAAATTATTACCAACATCTGAAAAAGAGACGTATAACAATGTAATGTATTTTTGGAAAATGCGTCCCAAGAATGCAGTTCCCATTCAACAAACTCGTTAGTACATTGCAGAGAAAAGAGTTTATTAGGAACTTGTAAAATAGGCTGAAATGTGGCATTTGATGTATCAACACATCTCATCAATCTGTAAAAAAGGGCTTCCCAATGCTCTATTCACCTTGTTACTCATTTATGCATTCTCTCATCACTGTTACTATAATAAAGCATTTCAGAGGACTGGACACAATATGCCTCTTTTACTTTCACAGCACTGACTTCTGTAGTAGAAGCATTGAAGAGGTTTCATGTGACCATTATTAAAAAGCAGTAAGGAGAGGGTTTAACCTCAGCAAATTTTCCAAATACGACTACAGTGGCTTAAACAGACTCATATAGAATATTTGCTGCAATACAGATCTATCTGAGCTTCTTAAACTAAGATTTATGTCTATTTAAGAGTAGAAAAATAAATAGCGACAAAAGAAAAAACCTGTAAACTTTCTCAAATTATTGTTTCCTAAAATTCCTGGGTATTCTCAGAATTAATTTCTTTTCTGTAGTCTTCTTTTTCCACCTTTGTTTATTCAAATTACATTTATTATGAACCTGACTTTAAAACTAGCATTCAGATTGTGCTATGTAAGCTTCTCTCAGTGATGGTTTATTACCAAGAAGACCAGATCCTTTCTGAAACATGTTTTGGCCAAACGGGCAATGCATCTCTCATAGAAAAGTAACTAATTATAATCTATGGCGAGGATGTTACGTGCTAAACGAGGATGTTACATCTACTTGCGAGGACACAAGAAACAACAAACGGCACGTGATACCTGGTCAGGATGTATTTTTGTGTGAGCCACCGGCAAAATCTGAAATAACAAAATGTTTATTAGCACATGACGTTCTTTTTCTTGTTGAGCACTTCCCTAAAACCACACAACCTTCAGGTACCAGAGGATCGCGTAGCCAGGAGCAGCTCTGGAAGTCACAGCCGTTCCCTGGCCATGGCCGGCCCACCACGGCCGGCACAGCCGACGCCTCTCCGGGACGGCCCCGACACATCGCGACAGCGGGGCGGGCGCGGAGCCGGGCGGCACCGGCGGCCGCGGCCCCGCGGGGGCGCCGGGCGGGCCGGACAGGCGCCACCCGGAAAGCCGGGACCGGCCGCGGCTGCCCCAGGCTTCTCCCTCCCTGCCTCCCGCGGCCGGGCGCTCACCATCACGGTGGCGATGATGGACAGCAGCGCGTCGCTGTAGGCCAGCAGCCGGTGCGATGTCTGCGTGCTGCCGCCCGGCTCCGGCGCCGGGCCCGGGCCGCGCTCCCGCGCCGCAGCCCGCGGAGCCGACATGGCCCCGTGCGCTCGGCGGCGGCGGGGGCGGCGCTTCCCCTCGCCCTCAGAGGGGCGGGAGCCGCCCGCTGCCCCTGCGGGGCGGAGGAAGGCTGCTCTCGGAAGCGATGCGGTACATGTCCGTGAGTGGTCGAGCCGCCGGGCGCACAGCGGCTGAAGGAGCAACCCCGCCTGTAAAAGGCGTTCCAGTTCACCTGTCCGTTTTCCATAACAACATCCTGAATCCAGTGACACTGACAGTGTGTTCTACACAGGACTGGTCAGGAAACATCAACAGAAGAGGCAAAGGAAAACATCACTCTTAGAGAAGCAATTTATATTCCTCAGACAAATTCCCTTTTTAAAATGGGAATTTCAGCAATTGAGGGAGGTAATCCTGTCCCTTTCCTCAGCCCTGGGGAGGCAGATCTGGAGTGCTCTGTCCCAATCTGAGCCTCTCAGTACAAGAGAGACATGGAGCTCCCGGAGCAGATACAGTGGAGGGCAACAAAGATAATGAGGAGACTGGAACATCTCTCTCACCAGGAAGAGCTGAAGGAGGTGGGCCTGTTCAGCCTTGAGAAGAGGCAACTGAGAGGGGAACCTCAGGACTGTCTATAAATATCTAATGGGTTGGTGTCAAGACGATGGACATAGGCTCTTCTACATGGTGCCAAGCAATACAGCAAGCAGAAAAGCTGCACCTGAGTATGGGAGGAACTTCTTTGCTGTGTGGGTGATCACAAAGAGGAACAGTGTGCCCAGAGAGGTTATTGGGTCTCCTTCAGTGAAGATACTCAAGAACCATCTGGATGCAATCTTGTGCCATGGAGTCTAAAATAATCCTGCTTAAACTGGGAGGTTGGATCAAATGACCTGCCGAGATTCCTTCCAACCTTAGCCATTTTGTGATTCTGTGATCTTGTGAAATAAAGACCTGTGGAACTACAGGGCAGTCAGTCTCACCTCTGTGCCTGGTGAAATCACCATGGAAACTATAGTAAGGCGTATGGAAAATAAGGAGGTGGTTAGTGACAGCCAGTGTGGCTTCATTAAGGGCAAATCATGCCTGCCGAGTGTAGTGGCCCTCTGCAATGGGGTTATAGGGGTGATCATTGAGGGGAGAGCTGACATCATCTGCATGGTCTTGTGCAAAGCATTTGCACCCAGTGGATTGGGTTGGAAGGGACATTAAAGATTGACTGTTCCAACCCTGCTGCAGTGGGCAGGGACACCTTTCACTAGACCAATTGCTCAAAGCTGCATCCAACCTGGCCTTGAACACTTCAGGCATGGGCCATCCACAGCTTCTGGGCAACCTGTTCCAGTGCCTTACCACCTTTATAGTAAAGAACTTCTTCCTAATACCTAATCTGAACCTACCCCTCCTTCAGCTTAGAGCCATTCGCTCTTGACCTGTCACTACATGGTCTTGCCCAAAGTCTCCATCTTTCTTGTAGTCTCTCTTCAGATTCTTGAAGCCTACTTTCTCTTTTCCAGGCTGAACCATCCTAATTTTCTCAGCCTTTCCCCATAGGAGAGGTGCTCCATCTCTCTAATCATCTTAGTGGCCCTTCTCTGGACTCACTCCAGCAGTTCCATGTCCTCCATGTGCTGGGACCCCAGAGCTGGATGCAGGGTTCCAGGTGGGCTCTCAGCAGAGCAGAGCAGAGGGGCAGAATCCCCTCCCTCCCCTGCTGCCCACGCTGCTTTGGATGCAGCCCAGGACATGTTTGGCTCTCTGGGCTGGGAGTGCCCATGGCTGGGTCATGTCCAGCCTCTCATTCACCATAATTGTCCTGATCCAGGTGGAGCACCTTGCACTTGGGATTGTTAAACCTCACAAGATTCCCATGTGCCCAATTCTCCAGTGTGTCCAGGTCCCTCTGGAACACTTCAGATGTGTCAACCACATCACTCACCTGGGTATGATCTGAAAATTTGGTGACACAGTCCCTTCATCTGTATCACTAATGAAGATATTGGACAACACTGGTCCCAGTAGGGTCCCCAGAGGGACACCACTTGTCTCTAATGACCATCAGGACTCTGAGACATTGACCACTACCTTCTGCATGGTCAATGGCTCAAAGTCCTGATGGATATCTATGATAACTTCTGATTCTATATTTGGACATATTGGAAAAGAATGTATTTCTGTGTGAACCATTTGTGATCATGTATTTGTAGATAATATTGCCAGAGATAAAATTAATCACTTGAATATTCATGCTTGTATTTTTGTTAGAATTGTGTCCTTAATTATCCAGGTCCTGTCACATGTTACAGTTGTTATGACATGATGATTTACAACAACTGTTAAAACAGACCCATGAAAATGGATAAAAGGCTCTGATCACTGTCCATCATAATACAGATGAAATACAAGGTGTCTTGGAAGAAGGATGGAGAGCATCAGTGATGGGACACCCTTTTCAAATGGTCACTCACTGCTGTGGAAATTTTTAGTAGACTGTTTCACCCTGTGGTTCTTTAAATATTGACTGCTTTACTTTAATAATAGCCAGTTATGTAAAATCACGTGTAATGATCCATCAGCTGCACATAACATCTGGGTGGATGGAAATGGAAGGTGTTCAGCAGCGGGATAAGGAATTGCCCTATAGGGATACCCCAAAAAATTGATTATGTACAGGTGTGATGGAGGCACTGAGTTGAAGGTGTGACTGCAGCCATGGCACAAATAATGTAGGAATGAGACCTAAAGCCATGAGATATGATGGGAGATATTCAGTGAAGGGATTATGTGGGCATGATAGGGACCTGATGGGAGTGATAGATCACCAGGTAGAGACTGGATGACTTTTGTTGCTGGATGACCATTATCACTGCAATCAGCAGTGGAAGAAGGAGTGATACTACTGGTTCTGTTCCATTTTGCTTAAACCCCACAGTTTTTCTATTTGTAATTCTTAATGTCCTTGATTTATATATTGTCTGCCCTCCCCCACCATTTAAGAGAAAAGCAACAGGATACTTTTGTCTCAACCCCAGTTCTCCCAAAAGTGGAAAAGGGCATTTGAAATCCCCTACCATGCAGACCAGTCTATAGACTGGCTCTTCTTCCCAAGAACACCTCTTTAGTAAGATATCTGCCTCCAGCTGTATCAGAGCATGCATCCAGGAGCACCTGGAACACTTGCACATACCCTATACACTTATATTTTCCAGGTCTACAGCCTTTATCCCCAGCAATCTCACAGGAATCTACAACCTGTTTGTTGTGGTCTAGAAATGGTACTCCCCAACTCTGTACCCCCCCTAGACTCTTCCAAACCACATGCAGATTGCTTGGCTTCCCCTCCCTTTTACCCCTCCAGGAATGGAGTTGAGAATTGAAGGTACAAAAGGTGAAAATTGGGTTGAGACAAGACTAATTTGCTGGAAACAGCAATGAGATAAGGTATAATAATGAACACTCACACCAACAATAGTAAAAACAAAACTATAAAGAAAAGAGAATAATTTGCATGCAAAAATGCTCACCATGAACTGGGAGAATGAACAATGCGTGACAGGTTCCCCACACAACCATACTTTTTGTTCTTCCAAAAACAGATGCCCTTCCCCCTGGAAGTGAGAAAGTCCCTTTTCCCCACTGCAGGCAGTGACATAAAGTGGTACCAAATAACCTGATTCTTGGCCACGTCCCCTCCTGCTGATTTGGGCTGGAACCAGAACACCGTTGTTTCTATAAACCACACTATTGGTTCATCTGTGTTTGTGAAAGTTCTTTTTGAGCTCGACCAAACTTCCAGCATTGAATTCATGAACCACGCTATTCGTGAATCTGGCACCGCTAATGTGGCCGGGTTTCTGGTGTAACCCTTGCTATCTCTGCACCTGGGATCCCACTGAACATGACCAGACTTACAGTGCCTGGTTGTTTACAATGAGAAATGAAGCCCAGATGCACCCAGCCCCTCTGATCTCCCAGGACCAGCTGGAATGCCAGAGGGTTTATTTTCTGCTATATTTCTATAATCTTGATGCGGCACTCAGAAAAATTTACTTTGCTTTGTATGTATTTTTTTTCCTTTTACATTCAAGGTTGGAATTGCAGTATATCCTATTAAGGAGTATTTGTTGAATGAGAATATTTTGTAAGTTACAATCACAGAATAGGTAAGGTTGGAAGGGATCACTGGAAGGTACCTAGTCTATCCTCTCTGCTCCAGCAGGGTCCCCTAGAGTATATTACTCAGCATTGTGTCCATATGGCTTATGAATATCTCCAAAGAAAGAGACTCCACAACCTCTCTGGACAACCTGTTCCAGTGCACAGTTACTTGCACAGTAGAAAAGTTCTTGCTCATGTTCAAGTTGAACTTCCTGTGCATCAGTTTCTGCCCATTGCATCTTGTCCTATTGCTCAATACTAAGAAGAGCCTGGACCCATCCTCTGATACCCTCCCTTCAAATATTTCTATGCAATGGTATGATCACATCTCAATCTTCACTTCTCCAAGCTGAACAGGCTCAAACTTTCCTTTTAAGAGAGATGCTCCAGTCTTCTCATCATCTCTGTCACCCTCCACTGGACCTGCTGCAGGAGCTCCATGTCTCTCTTGTCCTGGGGAGCCCAGAACTGGACACAGCACTCCAGTGCCTCTAGAGGCTGAGCAGAGGGACAGGGTCACCTTCCTTGACCTCCTGGCAATGCTCTCCTTAATGCACCCCAGGGTCCCATTGGCCTTCTTGGCCCCCAGGACACACTGCTGGCTCATGGACAGCTTGTTGTGCACCAGGACCCCCAGGTGCTTCTGCACAGAGCTGCTTCCCAGCAGGTCACCCCCAGCCTGTGCTGGTGCCTGGGGTTGTTCCTCCCCAGGTGCAGGATCCTAAACTTGCCTCTGTTGAATTTCAGATGTTTCTTCTCCTCCCATTCCTCCAGCCTGTCAAGCCAGGTCCTTCTGAAAGGCTGCACTTCTCTGGCATGTTGGCCACTCCTCTGAACTTTGTAACATCAGTGAACTTGCTAAGGAAGCATCTGCTCTTTC